GCTTCCCTGGTTTGAGTTGTGAGCCGCCCTGAGTCCCCTTCGGGGGAAAAGGGCAGCATATAAATAAAATCAACATTCAACATTTTGAGTTTCCTTCCTTTCATGAACCGGCCGAGGGCACATTCACCTGAACGTTTTCGTTAGAAGCCATCCTGGAACAGCTGGAACCAGAGGCATCTGCATCTAAAGGCAATGCTGCCAAAATGACAACATGCAACGAAATAAACATCTGATGCAAATACATAAGTCGGCACATTTTTGCATGCCCGTGAGCAGAGGGTCTTTGGTTTTCAACTCTCCCATGGGTTTCCCTACGATTCGTGTGATTCATCATTGGGTAGAAGTTTTTAAGATTTCAGCCTGATTGGACGATGTACCACACAAAGGACTGATAGGAGCCTGCATGCTTGTTTGTTAGAAAACAAATTGGAATAGGTTAATTCTAGTATTGCTCTAAATCCTAGAGATGCCACGTAGAAGCAAGTTAGGATTAAGGTGGTGAATAAACATCAACTACCAACCAGCTCAGTTAGTAATAAAGAATGCGGCCTCTGGGGGCCCAATTGCAGCATATCTGCAGGACAATCTCCAAGCCAGCACACAGTTTAGCTGCACTACCATGATTCTTGTGTGGAGAACAAATTTCCCACATTTCTTTATAGTTGTGGTTAGCAGTTCATTTAGTATCTTGGTAAAACTTGAGTGTCTTACTTACTGGAAATATAATGGATACTGTTTGGGGGTTGAGGCAAGGCAGGTTCCAGTGGGACTGCTATAATAGAGGGAAACTTGGGCTGGGGAAAAAGAAAGGGAAAAAAACAGTGAGCAACTTGGTGGACAGGCAGATTCAGATGGGGGAAGATCCTGGGGTTCTGAAGCAGAGGCCATCAGCCACGGAACGATATGGGTAGGCCAGGCGGAAGATGCCTATGCAGTTGCCTAGTCCAAATACTTTCTGTGATTAATCCAAAGATTGTGTGATTTAAGCTATTTCATCCAGTATTTGAGTACCACATACTCAGTAAAAATATTTATTACAAATACAGTAATTTCTAAATAAAGTGAAAGGTAAAGTTTCCTTTGAATCAGACTGGATGGGTCCATGTTGTTTTCTTGTTAAGAATTTTGTTGTGGCTTCCTTCCAGGACTTTCCCCCCTGATTTTCTGGTGGTCTCCTGTCCAAATACTAATTAGGATTCACCCTCCCTAGTTTTTTCAAGATTAGCTGAAGATGGTTGCATGCCACCTGTTCAATATTGTGAACATTGGAGATGGGTGTGGACAAATAAGGCGGTACAGCTTTAGTTCAAACGCTTTATTAATATCACTAGCTAACCGCAACTGCTTTAAACTGGGAACAAACAGAATAGAGATTTCCGCGTCTGACAGCTCCTTAAATACCCCACTGTCAGACGGCTTAGCCAAACAGCGTCCAGGGCAGCTCCCTCCTCTGGCATGGAGCTGAATACATAACACCACTGTCTTGCACTGGCAATTCAAAGTGCAGGGTAATTGCAAAAACGAATTCTGGTGACAATTTATTTGAAACAAATGCATTACTTTATTTACTTCATTTATTCCAATAAGTGAAGTTTCAATTTTGCCAAGGCACTAACCTGCTCACTCTCTTGGAATACTGTGAGGCACACTAAGCCCCTTCTTTAGGACAGGGGTCTCCAACTTTTTGGCTTTGCGGACTGGTGGGGTGTGGGAGAGGAAATGGTTTTCTGTGAGTGGCAGGTGCATGTGCTCACAGCTCCATTTGCACAAGTGGAGCACAAGTGGAGCTTCACACACACTTGTGAGTGCCTGCCACTTGCGCAATCCCTTGCCTGCTGTTTGCACAACACACGGCCCAGGGGTTGGGGACCCCTGCTTTAAGGCACGAATGTTCTGTCCATCTGACACACTTCACTTGCTAGGCAGATGGCCAGGCCCTACGAATCAATTTGTCTATTGTGAGTAGTACATTGTTGTATAAAATCACCCTCCCTTCCCTGGGTTTCTAACACACCTCCTCAGGGTGCCCCTCCTCGGTTCTTCGGCCTTTCTTTTTCTTTTCTTTCTTCTTGTCATCCACCTTCTCTTTTTCAGGAATGATGTTATCAATCCAAGCCAGATCATGCTGGGAAAAGACAAAGTCCAACATCTTCCGGACTAAAATTAAGGCTAAAATCTGAAAGGTGAGAAACAAAATAAAAATAAGTATCTAAGGTCACAATTGGCTAGGCTGTAGCCATCACCCCCAAGCTGCTGCAAAGAGCAGGTGCCGGAAAGGAAGGGATTGTGTGGTGCACAGGAGAAACTGTACTCAAAACAAGACAGGAGTTGGCCTGGGAGCAAGAGAGGAAGCTTCCTCCTCATTGGTCATGCTGAGAGATCCCTGGCCTCTCCTGCAACCACCAACATGGTGACATCTCCATATCCAGCCCAAAGGATTGCTTGCTGGGGAAAGGATATGGGCGCTTTAGTCTTTCATTCTTAACAGGTTTAGAAGAAGAGGACATTAGTCTATGGGAGGCAGCTCCAAAGGAGGCCTGACAGGCCTTTCCCGGCTAAGAGATTCTATTAAAAGGCACGGACTTTTCATGAAACAAATGGAGACCCCTTAAAACCAGAGCCTCCTGCAGTCTTGCAACAAGTCCTGCTTGTTAGAATAGCTGCACAAGGTTGCCACGAAGTCAGCAGCCTCTACAACAGTGGTTCCCAACCTTTCTGGCTTGGTGGGCTGGAAGGAAAGGGGGAGAGGGAAGAGAGGAAATGGTCCTGCACACGCTCTCATCCGCAGCTCCAGTTGCGCAAGCAGTGGGCATTCACCCACATGCATGAAACTCCATTTGTGCAAGCAGTGGGCGTGCCACCCACTCGCGCAAATGGAGCTGCGTGTGCACTCGCCTGCCACTTGTGCCGCCAATTGGTTCCAAATGGGCCGTGACCAGGACCGGGCTACAACTCAGAGATGGGGACCCCTGTTCTGCAAGAAAGCTGAGCTTTGCATTGCATCCCCTCAGCCAGGCACCTCTGCAAAAAACAGACAGGTAAGTTGGGTGCTGCTGGGCCTGGAGCTGGATGAGGAGCAGGCCATGGCCTGCAAGTCCCTTAGGGTGGCTGGATGGGAAGTAGGTCTCAGCTTGCAGGCTACACCTGCCCTCCATGCACTGGTCACTTCTTTTGGCCAGGTTTAGGCTCTCTTGCCTGGCTGAGTGGCCAGCTTTGGAGCAGGCCGAGGCTGGGAGAACCTGGAGGGATGGGGGGAAATGGAGGGGGAGGGTAAATGTTGCTGTCTCCCTGCAGTTGGTTATGAAGCTGAAGAAGGTTAGGACCATTTAGGCCATTTAGAAAGTTAGGGAGACATGATAGCAGTCTTCCAATATCTCAGGGGTTGCCCCAAAGAAGAGGGAGTCAAACTATTCTCCAAGGCACCTGAGGGCGGAACAAGAAGCAATGGGTGGAAACTAATCAAGGAGAGAAGCGACCTAGAACTAAGGAGGAATTTCCTGACAGACAATTAATCAGGGGAACAGCTTGCCTCCAGAAGTTGTGAATGCACCAACACTGAAACCCTTTAAGAAGGTGTTGGATAGCCATTTGTCTGGAATGGTATAGGGTTTCCTGCCTAGGCAGG